ACCAGATGGTTCAAATAAGGAGATTTTAATAAAGGGACTACTTGCAGCGGTTGGGCAGCATGAGGGAACAAAGGATAGTGAGGCCCAAAGAGAAACTAACAACCCGGAGGGGCAAAAGCAGAAAATAGAGTCTGCCACCTACTTCAGAACTAATAGAAGTATCAGAGAAGAATCCCATGCTTGTTTTCCAAAAGCCTTTTCTCTCTCCCCAGTTACACGGAAAGAGATTGTATTGCATTTATACTAAGACAGATCCCTGTACCTGGTCTCTTTATCTCATCCACTCTTGCCTTTGGGAACACTTAACTCAGTTGTTCATCTCTTGCCAATAGCACCTTCCTGTCAGCCTTTAGACATGCTTAGAGACAGACAATAAAGCAAAACAAAGACAACAATGAAAAAGTAACATCCTCCTTTGATTTCACATTCCTCTGTTAAAAGACCTCTCTCTTCTTCCCTTATCAGCCAGATTTCTTAAATAGTTGTTTATACTCAACTTTTCCTCATCCTAGTACTGTTTTGTTTTAGTACCCATCACACTACCAGAATCCAAGGTCCTCAGGTCCTCTTTTGTCACAAAACTTGTTCCTATCATTTCCCCATCGTAGTGCCTGGGACATTGCAAATAATAAATATTTGTTTTGACTGAACAATCTGAGGGTACATTCTTGTTTCAAGCCCTAGTTTATCTGTATCTGTCTGTTTTTCTGACGGATAGGAATCCAACACTCATCTTTTGAGGTCCTGGTGACCAATCTCTATACAGTCCAAGTCTTCTCGATGGACTAAACAAATATAGAAATCAATTTTATTTAATAATGACTTCTTCAGTATTGTCCAGCTGATCTGTCTTTCGGGATGGGCGGAGGGAATACCTGGACTCTTTTTTTTCCTGAAAAATTAATTTTCCAGAAATAATATTTTGTCCACCCAATGTAAATTTAATAAAGAGGGAGTGATAGGGACATTGGTACAATAGGCAATAGATTGATGAGTAAATAATGTTATGCTTTTACATGAAACTATGCTTCCTTCCTCCTTCCATTAAGTAATATATCTTCTTTGAGATTTTTGTTTTCAGTTTTAGGGGGTTGTAGTAGAGGGGGAATGGATTTACATTTCATTTTTGATATGTCATCAATACCCAGTGGAATGAGTTAGAACAGCAGTCTCTAACCTTTTTGGCACCAGGGACTGGTGCTTCTATGATAATCTAGTGCCTAATGATCTGAGGTGGAGCTGAGGTGGTGATGTTGTCTAGCACTGGAGAGCAGCTGCAAATGCAGAAGAAGCTTCAGGTTACCTTGCCACTCACCTCCTGCTGTGCGGCCAGGTTCCTAACAGGTCACTTACCTGTACCTGGGGGTTAGGGACCCCTGAGGTAGAGGACCAGGCATCTTTAGATCTATATCTTTCGTCTGTGAATGTGTTGATTTCACAAAATAATTGCCCTCTGGGAAGAGACTTAGCCTGCTAAGGCAGAAGATTTCATGGTTCCTGGGAAATAGAGGAGACTTTTAACGAACATTTCTGATTAACATGGAATCTGATGTTTGTCTTAAGAGACTAGCTGTGTAATCCGTATTTATGTAGCAGATCAGTTATGTGGGAGCTCAGGAGAGCCAAATTTTCAGGTTTTTCCTCTATGTAGTATCTTCTTTCAGTATTCTTTCCTAGTTACCTCATGTACATTCTCTTTTCTTTAATCCCCTACCTCCAAACATTGTAGTGGGAGTGAGGGTTCTCCCCAATCCAAAAGAAAAAAAGTACCGTTTATCAATTATATTTTTAAATCATCAGATTGTTTTCAAATGAATTAAAAAATAAATACACTTTTATTTAAAAACAGTATGCTTTCAGTTATATTTTGT